AGGAAGAAATCTACAGCGAAGGGTCACTGCCTCGACATTTTAGATTTGGAGTTTCGGCACAAAACTTTGCCATTCTCGACTTTACTATTTAGCACACATTAATAAAAATATCTTAATTATTTTCGGAAAAAATCCACTTCCTAATGAAGCGACGCTATGTCGATCTATAAATAAAACGCGAAATTGATTACCGGTTGAACCAATTAAAAATGTCGCCGAAGGGAAGGTAATCAATAAATTGAATGGAATCTGAAATAATTTATTTGTAAATTAGCATCAACAAGCATCAATAAAAATATTCAAGTTGACTTTTTTATCAATGGCGAAAATAAGTTGCTAATCTCATTAAGCATGTCAACGTCAAGTTGAAGCATCACTTCTTGATCTTGATCGAAGGAGTAAAAAACAGCTTTCTGTTGCTAAATGGGCTCACAATTAACCCATATCTGGGATAAGATGCGCAGTTTCGTAGCCAAGGTAAAGCCTTTGGCATGACTATGCAACAATAGCGCTCGCTCAAACACTCCCATGGTAGATGTCACGGTTAATACGTGGATAATAACTATCAAACCACTGTTGATAGTTTATAGGAAGACAGAGTTGGCATTTCAATATTTAAAGCCCCAAACAGCTGTAAAAGGGGAGAAGGAAATGTTTTAAAACAAAAAGAAAGATGGAAAACTACTTAACAATATTAAAAGTTCTGTAAAATTATATATAAATTAAGACGCAGATTATTAAATTTTAATAAATCTCTTCGGGGCATGTATAGTTATATGTATATATGTATAGAGTATACACAGCACAAAGATTAATATGAATTAAAAAATTATTATTTTTTTGTCTGTAGCAAAAGATGATCAAAATCTGTCACTTTTGAAATCAAAGTTGAATTACATTTTTTTTATGATTTCATGCAACTAACCAGAAAATAATCGCTGTTATCTATGATTGAAATACAGCATTATTGCTGGAATGTTCTTTTATTTAAATAAAATATCTATAGAGTGGTAAAAAAAGTTAAGAATGCAGCAGAATAGTGTCTATAAATATTATGCTAACGAAGTATTGTGGCAAAAATATGAATGTATCCTTAAGATTTAGGAGGTTAGGACTAGTTCGTTTTGAATAAGTTTCATTCTGTATCAGTCCAATAGGAACAAAACTTATCAAGTTTATTTTGTTTCTCGAAAAAGGACAGGAAACGAAATTGGCAGTAAAATGTCATTAATTTTTATTAACTGCTGGTGGTGTAGTATTGCTGTGAAGGGCTAATAAAAATAATTAGTTTATAATTTTAAGTACTTATACATCATCTTTTTCTCGTTCTTACTCTACTTCTGGTCTTTAATTGTTTTCACATTGTTATCTATCTTACCTCTTTATATTTCCCCCATTCTTGGTTTTGAGCTCCTATGTGTTTCACAATGTTCTCTTTTCCTAAAAACTGTTCAATTTCTTGATTTTTGTTTTCGTCATTCGTTCTCCTTTGTTTGTTGAACTTGGACTGGTATACTCCTCATTCTTTTTTTCCCATACTCTTAAATCTTCCTGATCTTTTTTGGTTAGTGCCTTTGTTTCCCTCGCGTCGGTTATAGTTGGTTTTATTAATGTTTTGCGTTTTGCTCCAGTATCCTTCTCCTCCTTTTTCGTATTTTGTTTATATTTATCTCTAGAGCGAACCGTGTTGCTTTTTGACCAGGTTTTTGCTGCCTTTATTAAATTTTCATTTTTTTTTTTTGTTAATATGTATTACTAAATCGTCCTCATATGCCATAATTGTGTTTCATTTCTATTTAAGCTCTTCTTATTTAGTTTTATGCTTCTTAAGATTCCTTCCAAAAGTGGGTTAGAAAGGGTTGGGGAAATAGGACCTCCCTGTTTTAAGCAGGTATTAATTCTAAATCTGTCTGTGACTGCTCTTTGACATTTGGCTGGCAGATTTTTAATAGTTTTCTCAATTTTTACGGAATTCCAAAGGTCTTTAGTTTTTTAAATGGTTTAGTTCTGTTTACTGCATCGAATGCGTTTGTAAAGTCGATGAAAGTCACACTCGTATAAATTTCTCTGTCATACTTGCTATGTTTTTGTAGTATTTGCTCCTGTGTATGACATCAGTTGTACAGTTCTTCGCCCTAAATCCATTTTGATAATCTCCAAGAATCTTTCTTATGTGAACTTTCAGTTTCAGGTTTATGAGGTTTGCGGACACTTTATTTTGGAACATGTGGAAACAGAAAAAAAAATAAAAAAGTTACGACACTAAACATTAGCGTAAATTTACAAATATTTAAGTGTCCGTTTTTTTTTTCTGGCAGTGTATTTTGTAAGCTAAATTGAATGATTTTATTGTTCTATAATTTACGCAGATTCCTTTATCCCGTTTTTGTGTTTTGGAAAAATTGTACTTTATGATTGTTTCTGTAATGCCGAATTTACTTACTGCACAAGTAAATGTACGAGTATAACTTTTTTTTTAGTAAATTCTTATTAGAAATTTGTTAACAACAGACCCTCCCATATTTAATTTTATTCTTATTATTATTAATTTTCTAGAAATTGTATTCACTAACCATACAAGTATAAAAATTAAATTTAGCAGAGATCATAAAAAACTGAGAAAAACAAAAGCTACAAAACCAAATATATATATAAAAAAACAATCTATAATTAAAATTTATTTTATAATTAAGTTTATTAATATGGTAAATTCTGAATATTCCGCAGTAACAGAAAGGAACCTAGCTAACGCGTGCAAAATGGAGACGAAAAAGATGTTTTGTTTTGATATTACCATAGCGTTCATGATTTATACATATAATAGCTGCTCTTTGGATAGTTGTTGCAGTAGTTTTGAATAACTTTAGTAACACACTAAAACGGATTTCTATTTGTGATCTTGGAGAAGTCATCTGTCCTAATCTTCTAATTGGTTAAAATCTATGGAATTCGTATAACTGCACAAAATATTTCCTGAGAAAAAGATACTAAAATTATCCCACAAATTTATTTTCAGAATTGAAAAATTTTAAATTTCTTTTTTGTGGTCATCTAATGCTTCAATGTTGCTTTATTTTTATTTTATTTTGAAAACTTTACTGTATGACAGTCGATACTTTCAAATTGGAAGTACACCGTAAAAGGTCCGAATAAACTAAAAGAAAAATTTGCTGTGTCTTTTAGGGTTTATAAACCTTTTGTTGTGGAATGATGGTTTTCTAATTAAGTTTATTAGTTAATTTCTGTGGAATACTATCTAATAAGTCATTTTAATTGATTAAAAAATCCAAATTATTTACTGAATTACAAGAAATACTATTCGCATATCTTAGAATAAAAATTTCAGTAAAAAATTATTGTATTTAGTTTTGAAGGTTCTAGACTGTGTCGCTAAATTTCCAAAAAAATATGCCGTTTCTGAGATAATTTTCAAAATATGCCAGTCGATACTCTAGTTTTCCAAACATAGTAAAAAAAAAAGCGCTGTAGTGAGGGGCACACAATACCACATTTTCGAGCATATTTCATATTATTATTATAGTTATTATCAGGAGTGAGGTATTGTTTTCGTTAGGTGACATCACTGACTTTCTCGAAGAGACAATCAAATAAATTGTAGTTCATGTTTAGTAATCACTACCGTCAGAATGAATGTCTTAACCAAATTTCAAAGTCAGTTATGTAATTTTCGTAATAAATTATAAAATCTGTTTGTAAAAATTTGGTACAGAGGGTGGGATCCCTCTGTCCCAAATTAAGTATTCCATTTGGCAAAAAATTCTAAAAAAAAATCTTTTCAAATAACGAGAAATAGAGAGACTTCGCTGGAAGGAAATCTAACACAATTGTATTCGCGTTTTCTGTAATATTTTTCGGATTCTGCATTTTGTGCAAAAACGACCGACACATTTTTTCGTGTTCACATTAAACAATCTGGTTACTATGGTGGCAGCCCACTATGTATTTTTGAGAAATATTTGCTTTATAGTCACATTAGTCGTATTATTAAGAGGTTTGTTGAGGTGTTTTTGGGAGCTTTAACAAAAAAATGTTGTTTGTGACACATACCAAAACATTTTTTGGATTCATTTGCTATGCTAACAGCAAAATTCGTCCCAAAAAACTATGTTTTAGGTACTTGTAACAAAAATAACTGTTTATTTAGTGTACCGCATATAAATAATACAAAAAAATAGTTTCTTATTATAGTTACTGTTATCGTCCCACAGATAAATTACAAAATGTGACTTAAAAAAACTATTTTTGAGACAAATTTTATAGCGAGAATACATAGGGGTGAAGATTATACAGTCCGTTGTATTTGACATATAAAATTATCTAACATGATTTAGAAATTATGTCAGTTTAATGAACAGTTTTGTCCTATCTGCATAATAAATCGCTTACACAGAAACAGTTAACAATATTCATGGTGACGCCGATAATTCTTTATTATGACAAAGAAATCATGGGGGTCTAAACGATTACACATAAACAGTTCATAGAGGGACATACTCGAATGAAAACTACGTACAATATCTATATCTGTAAAAACAGAAAAGTAGTTATTAGATACAATATCATCTTTTCCTTTACTAATTTCTTCAGAAACACAATAAAAAAAAGTTTTATAAACATAAAATTTGGATAACCTCGAAACAGTTTTTATCATGAAAAAACTTTCCAGTATAAAGCCTTTTTAGATTATTCCTGTAGAAATAAATTTAAACCCGGTACTGTTCTCCACCAGACTGCTCCTCGGACTCGTGACTGCCCGGCATGTGCTATATGTCAACCCCACTCATTGTCTTTGACGGCAGATGTCAATTAGTTGATTCCCACAGTAAAATTTCGCCAGAAAATAATTTGCGTGGCCAATTATCGCCCTCCGACGTTCGAAAGCATGCGAGGAAGTAAAGGAAAGCAATGAGTTAGGAGAGGTGCGGATGGCAAATGTGGGTCGGCCATCGACAGCAGGTGGAAAGTGGCTGATATCAAAGTTTCATTGAGTAATTTGTACGGGAGTGCAGACGACAACCGGTGCAGTCGAATGCTGGAAACCCTCGTGGTAGCGCGTCTTCAGTGTTAGTGCTTCTTGTTTGTGACTTATCCTTAGGATTACCTGAAATGGGGCCGCTCCAGGTATAGCGCCATTTAATATATCAATTCCGGGCGAATATGACTTCGCTCCAGCTTTGAACATGATTCTGTTATATTAGTTGATTTATTTTCTATCACTGATATTGATACATGACTTCTATACAAAATAAACAGATAAAGTTACAAATAAATTTTAAGTTGTCTAATGACATTGACATATTTGTGCGTATCGATTTGGACTGCATTTTGCAAGTTCACTAAGAAAAAACTGCATTCTGCAACCTACACAAAAACCTTTTTCCCACGTTGAAAATGAAAGTTGACGAGTTTTCTTAAATCAGTGTGGAGGTTTGTTATGATGGATATTAGTGTCAATGATAGAATTACTTTATAACACGGAATTCTTGCAATCATTAATTGGAGATTATTTACGGTTTTAATGCAATCTAAAAAGGAAGCGTGCCAGTGATGTTGATAGTTTAATTGAAGAACGCACTCCAAGTAATGAGGCTCTGATAAATTAGAATAATTTGCATTCAATACTACGGAATTAGAATATGTCAAGCTTGTAAGAAAAGGAAAATTAAGTGCTGCCTTATTGTAAACTGGATTAAAGTTTTTTATGACACGAGAGTATTGTTAAGGTAATTGTGTGAATTTGGAACATAGGAGAAGATACAGACTAAAGTTTTATGAGTTAATGCCAACAATTGGAGTGAAAGTAACAACAAGTATCATAAACGTGGATGCGCACATTGACGGTCAAGAAAATGGGGACGAGAATCACTTAATAATTTGTTCTCATATTGTGTAAATTATTACTCTCAAGTGAGAAGTATTAATTAAAAGTGTTATTCAACTAATAATTTTTGGAATACTCTATTATTATTCTAATACCTATATTTTTTAAGCACTCAGCATTCGTTTACGTTTCCAGAAAATATGGATTAAAGTCTTGCTGTTGAAATAAAAATGTGTAATGAATTTATCTAATATGTAATAAAATATAAGTACGTATAAGTAAAGCTGTGTTAAAGAGAAACTGATCTACAAAATTCCAAAATTATTTTGACATCATTTCTAAAATTTGCAGGTTTCAATAGCTTTTTAAGATTTCAAAATTCTCAACTGTTAAGGAACTTAACATTTCTAAGTATAAATGAATCTGTAAAAGCTCTTAGTTTTGGGGTTACGTAATTATTTCAACTATATATTTCGAGCATCAACCTTTTTTGTTTTTGCTATTTAAGTATAAGTTTGACAATTAATTAGTATTTTCAATTTCTAAAGATACTAGTTCATTTAGAAAAATTTAAAATAATGACATCGTTGTAAAAATACTAGGTACACGCAGATGCGTTTTAAAAGCAAATTATGGCTACAATATTTTTTTTGTAGTTTTTAGGTACATGGTATACGTTATCTCAAAATTTTGAACAAATGAAGTACGTTTTGTTAGTTCAACTAAATTTGCAAATATTTACAACTACAAGTAGATTTTGTTGTCAATAACAATTTTATTAGTAACATTTTTTTATGAAATATACGATTGAAAATTTGTTGCATTGTTGTGTGTATTTTTCTTAGGTGCTTTATGTCGCATTATTCACTCGTATTATATAATATTTATAATATTGCTGTCGAGATTTTTCCTCGTTTAACCGATATACGTATTTTACACTTATAGGTACGTTATTTACTAATGGAAACTTAAGTCTAGGTATATTTATTTTTCTGACATATTGATGCCATGAATTGTTCACAGTCCCGTTGTAAATTAAAAGCAGAACTGATACATTATTATTTTTTAAAGGTGAACGGTACTTGCGTTACGGGTTATTTTGGGCCAGCATGTTCCTTGGTCACCTTTTTTGAATTTATGTATACCTGTAATTTTGAATTTTATAACTTTAAAAAAGTTATATCTACAATCTTTATTCATTATTTATTTTATTTTTATTATTATTCATAGTACGCTGTTACTTTTTGCTTCTAGTACCATACGATCCAGAAAGAAGTAGTTTATTGTTAAAAAAATTATGGTGGTAACATTAACGCGTTTCTCGTTCGTGTTATTCATTTTGCTGAAATAACTGTTGAATAAGGTCCCAAATAACTTCAGTGCCAACATAATTGTAGTAAAAATACATTTCGCAGCTTACTAGATGACTTTTTTGTTTATGTGGTATTTTATATTTTTTGACATTTTATTAATCAAGTTTAAACAAAATGAAAATGTGGTCTAGTTAACCATGTCCAATAAAAGCACTGAACAAAGTTACCTACGTGTGTAACTGTATTGTTTATTCTCAAAAAAAGTGAAGCCATAACTAAGTCGGTATTTGGACAAAATTATAAAATTCTGTTTTTACAGTAAAGAATTATTATTTTTGTACGAGAGCAACATTGACATGTTATAGGGTAAATTAATGATGTAATCATGACAGCACATACTTACACTTGAATATAACTCATGAGTTTAATATTAACAGCAACCTATTTATTTTCCTTAAATAACATGCTACATCATCATCCTAGTGTACAAATTGATTTTTTTTAAGATATTAACGTTTAATTTAGCACAAAATATTATTGTTAATAATTGAATGATATTCTAGTATTAGGACTTTTATTATTTTGGCATTTTTAGTTCTAGAGGCTGTTTCAAATGAGAGAAAACACGTTTCCATGAGAAGTGCAATAAAAACAAGATAGATTGTGTTTGTTTTAGCGTTGGTGACAAACGAAATTATAACATGTAGAGCAAAGATTTGGTAATTAATTATTTGCGAAGTTTTAATTGGTAAACGACAGCTCGACAGCTGTGTAGGATTTGAAAATTTTTTAACTTAGGAATCTTAATTATTATCACTAATATACCTCTGTAACATTATTTCAAAAACGTATTTACAAAAAAATATGCGTTAGTCTGCAATTTTGCGTCCGTTTATATTTTAAAACATTATTTACCCATTTCAAAAATTTTCGTGAAATTTTGGAAATGTAGTAGGAGTAGTATTTTTGATTTCAAATTAGTTTAGTAATTAATATGATTATGTATTTATTTGTACAGAAAAAAAAATTACCGGAATACTTATTACATGAAAAATCATTCAAGAAATTTAATTTTTTAAAAACTAAAATTTGTTTTAACATTTTGAAAATGTGCTATAACTGTATGACATGTTTAGAATATTTGTACTTTTTTTTTCGTTTTAGTAGACTTATAAACTAGCCTAAATATAAAATTGAATTAAGAAGTTTTCAATTAAAATTAAGTTGCTACACATAATAACTTTTTATTTTTTAAATTCACGGATGCCATTTACAGTTAGATTACTTGAATAAATATTTAACTACATATATTGTTATACTTCTCGTTTATTCATCAATGTTTCTGTGTTTAGTAATTTTTAATTATAGTTTTTATCATTACGAATAATTATACTCCCCAGTACGAAGACACTTTTTTCTCGTGTAATTTACACCAGCTATTATAGGATAATAATAGGTGTACACATTTTATAATTTTACAGTCTTAATCGCTCGATGATTACTAACCTCATTTATTTATTACGTTAAACGTCAGAGATTTATTTCTATTAAAACCGGCACAAAAACCAGTAAGCTTAAAAGAATTTGCACGATTTTCAATAGAATTATAAAAAAGATTTCGTGCCAATGACATGATATTAACTTTAGCTTACCGTGCAGCCAAGATATATTGTTTGCCCGCAGCTGACATTACTATACCAAAATTTGTTGCGCTTGAAGAAGCTATTATTTTTCTGTGTATAAAACGTTAGTGTGAAATTAAGGTCACAGAAGTTGTATTCTCTGTCTAGGTTACCCATATTTGAGCTAAATTAATAAAAATCGCCAATAAATTATTTTCTCTCGAAATGAGCGGCACTATTATTAGTATTGTGTTGGTATTAATCTCGTAAATTGCCATTCAGATTATGCACATTGATTAAAATCACTCCACGTTGCTTAGTCACATTTTATGTTTTTATCTTTCTCTTTATGTTATATAAAATTGGTTTCTGCGATTTCAAGGTGTATGTTGTTACAACAATATAACATGTTCCCACATGTGATATAGTGAATTTTTTGCTCTGAATACAATCTGGGTTATTTTAATGGTGATAATTTAATCCATCTATGTATACGAAACTGTTTTATTAATACTATGGCTTGTTATAATTACTTTATTACAAAAACTGTTAAATATGTAGTTTTTCTGTTACATTACACCGCGACCTAATTTTTTCTAGTTTTACTTTCATATTTTAAAATTCACGATGCATTTTTCCATTTGTTGATGTACAAACACCGGTTTTAACATTCAAGTCAACAGAAACATTGTCTTCGTTTTTACTACCAAATAAGGCTAGCGGAAGCTTACTTAACCCTCTTTGAAATAACTATATTCTCCGAACTGACGAAATAACGACCATTTCTAAAATATCCAATTTATGTAAACATCTTCACAATACTAACTGCAAAATTTCTCTTCAAGATTGTTTTAAAATAGTTACTGCCATCGCAATTAAAAATCCGATGTACAGGTGAAAGTAGGTGATGAGACGAAGTTATTGACTCCGAAAACTTTCTTCCACCTATACACCGGAGATGACTTATATCTCTTGTTACGTTACATTATTATATTATGCCACATTTTCTCTAAACTTATAGGTGCTCCTGCTATTGATCGTCACAACAACAATCCGATCCGCAGAACCAGAAAAACCACCTCCGACCATCACCCGCACAGAGATCAAGGTTTCCAGGAGTCTAAATCCCGAAGACATGCAAACTCTTAACGTCGTGACGAAAGATGGGAACGTTGCACAACTTATCGTAAAAAGACGCGATAGAAAAACTGAAACGTCGAAGAGTGATGATGTTAAGGATAACCACATTTCACGAGCCATTTATACGAACTGGATCCCGGTTTCTTCATTCTACTACCAACCGAATATTATCCGCTTAGATACGATTGCCTTGGTGCGAAACTCCACTCAAGAAAAGAAATCAAATGTCATTGATAGTGATAGGTATGTAACTTCTTCAGTTGCTGATAGTCATTAACAGGGCCATTTCAGGATTCCGAACGTGCCAAAACCGGTTACTATTCGGTCGGGAGACATTTATATAAAAAACAGTGACAAAAAGCGTGGTCGTTCTATTGTGCAAATGGATCAAGACGGAATTCCAGTCATTCACGGTGTTCGTGTTCCTGATGATGAATCGGATAGGCAGACCTGGAGGAATGCGAGGGTGATCAATGGTGAATTAGTACCGTACGAAGAAGGGTATAAACCTCCAGCTGCTGTTCCGATCGGTCAGTTGATTTATGCTAGTCAGGCTAAAGATAAAGATGACATGAGAAGTCTTGGACCTTTCACGAAACAGGATAACTACAAGGATGAGAGTCAGAATAGTTTTGGTCCTTTCACCGTCAAGGATAACCTTCCAGGCGAAAAACCGAAACAGAATGAAGATTACGTGCGTTTTAATAGTCAATCAGGAATCGGTCCATTCACGAAAGCGGACAATGCCAAACTCACTAGTTCTAAACTGATTGATTATATCAAAGAAATTAACGCGAAGGAGAGTAAAAGAGATTACTTCGCACGGAGGAAGTACAGATCTTACGATGACAATTCGCAAATGCAGAGAAGGATGTTGCAGTATCCTGGACAACACTCGTATCCGAACTCGTTGTTGTACACCCCGACGAGTGCCAAACTGAGCCCTGTTACATTCAATGAGGGTGTTCGCACCCCTGTTTTACAGTATGCCCATCCAGAGTTAGGGGTGCAGCCGGCAAAAGCCACGCCTGAAGAAGACGAAATGATTCAGTACAAAGACAATCAATATGAAGTGGACAGTGGACGTCAATCGCAATATTACGACGATAACGTTAACACCGTAGATTATTACAGGAAAGATGTTATGAATTATCCTTACAACACTTACTACATTAAACCGAAGCCAGAACAACCCTTTTGGATTCGAATAACGGAGAGTATCAAAGATAACGTTCAGAGTGGGTTTGAGAGAATGCAACAACTAACTCGCCCCGTGTTTGAACCCTTGGTGGAAGCAACTCACAAAATTTCTCACAATCTGGGTTTTTCTAAAGAACCTCATGCCCAAAATAAAGTGGGCTTGATAGCCCCTATGGGAAGTTCCGTCATTTTGCCCGCTTTGGGTCTAGTGGCTGGTGGCGCAGCTTTAGGTTTAGGCGCAGCCGCAGTGGGTAGGTTTTTGAACCCTGCGGATATGAGAGGATTTCAGGGTGTTAACCCTAATGATATCGTCGTTATAATGGAAGAACCTCCCACTCAAGAACACGAAGAACGTAAAAGGTTTAGGCGAAACGTGGAAGATGAGTTTTATATGCAAAAATTAGTTGCTAATGTGGAGAAGGACAAGGGTTTGCACCACTTCGCAGCACCACATTTTTGGTCCGACACCCCCTGTGCCAAACGACTTTTCTGTGATGTAATGGTACGCCAAAACGACGATGAGGTGGTGTTAATGGAGAAGAAAATGGACAGTTTGATGGCATCGTAAGTATTGTTGTTAGTTACGCAACGTGCTCGCTGTTCCAATGCACTTGAGATTTGAATCCGACGCACAAGCAGTGAGTGTAGAAAGTAGTTTTTTTTGTATTTGGTTTCATTGACGAGTCATGGTTAAACACCGATAAGTAGGACGGAGAAAGCTCCCGTCTTCATCTTTTCGTGGTTCTCACCACACCCAAGTAATCTTCGATAATCAGAACAAATCACTGTTATGTTCCTTAGAGCGATATCAGACAATTGTGGCAGCCTCAAGGAAACACGTGACAGGAGCCCTTGGGCGCAGGAAATAACACCCAACAATGATTTATTCATAATGAGCGAGCCTCAGGCCTTTGCAATACATTAATCAACTATTAAAAGCACGCAACAAAGATGTTCTTATATAAGTCTTTGTTGGCTAGTTCCATGACAAACGAACAATGAAATCACTTATATAACCTGAAAATGTGTAAATAATCGTGGATTAATTGTGAAGTGAAGGCTAAATTGTTGTATTCTTGCCAAAGATGAGTCTGGACTGGAATGCTGATTAGCCTCGAGCCGAGAGTAGTTACTTTCACTCTGACCCAGACAATAAGGAGTCGTTGGTAGCTCGCACTGCGTTATGCCATCTCTTGTATGATAATGACCCTTACCTTTTTTTCAGGGTGCATCCCGACGTGGCGAATCAAGTCTCGCATCATCTCCAAGAAGTCATGGACGCGGTGAAGATGAGAGATTGCTCGAAATTTTACTGCAGCAGGAGGTACACGTTTCCGGCACCGGCGGCATAATAAGCTAAATTATCGTGCGAAAAAAATTGTTGTAATTATTTGTTTCGACCACCCATGACAACTGTCCTAAAAAACCATGTTGTATTATGTGAATATTTATTTTGTTAATTTTAGTAGTTTCCGTTGAAACATTATATTAATGTTACCTATATAGTATTGTGTTAGATAATTAAAAAATGTTAACTAACAATTGTGCAAACGATTGTTCGTTTGAATCTATTGCCATATTTTTTTACGTATGGTATCAAAATTTTGTATTAGGTACAGCATGCGCCAAATTTAGTATTTTGTGAACAGTTTGCAAAAATGGTGTGAATCAAAAGTGGGGTTGTTACGATTTCACTCGCAAACTGTATTTTTGTCCACCATTATTTTTGTGTTGTCATTATTTATGTGACATAGACGTTATAACTATTAGTGATATTAAATAACTTGTACATAGTTTTCGAGCTTATCCTAATTTATAAAATAGTATGTTTTTATGTTAAGAATTAATTTTTTCGAATAAAGCTTTATAAAATACGTTTCCTGGTTTTGTGTTTTTTTGATGATTTTCGTATAATCTTAATTTTACTGATGAAAACGTCTGAATTGATGTAAAACTTTTCCTATTCATATGCGTAAATAATAAAAAATAAAATCGCCGTTGCTTATTAATTATTATTGATACAATAATTATAATTAATTAATTATTAATAGTAATTTAGATACACGTTACTGAAATCGAAAGTTGAAATTTCGCATAATGAGATAAAGTTGTTTTTTTTGACGTGCCTACGATATGAGACAATTTTCAAAGGGACGCTCACCATACTTTTGATGTTAAAAATGAAACAAAATTTTAATAAAAAAAAAATGAACAATATGACCAAAATACCTTCTCGAGTGTCAACGTATTTTAATAACAGTAGCCATATAAACCTAATTACTCCCCAATATATTAAATCATTACTAATAAATTAAGTGCATGTATTATCTCTGCAGTCAGATATACTAATCACATTTTTTACGTTTCTCATATTCATTTTAGTCAAAATAGAAAATATCAAAATGTGTTACAAGTTCCAACCGAGCAGTGTGCCAGGGTTCATTATTTTGCCCCCTTCTTTTTATTTACAACCTATAATAGATATTTATTTTATTAGGAGTGATACTTTATGTGACGGAGTATGGACGATTAAAAGCCGAGCCATAAGAGTAACATAAAATCCGTTAAACTCCGAATAATATACAATATTTTATTTTCAGACGTTTAACATTCTTTTGAAATGATTATTACTATTTCTTGTCTCCTGCTTCACGAAAAAATTGTCTTTCATTGACTACCATGGTTACTATGGTTGGTGATGATTTTCAACGTATTCTATTTATACGCCGCCGAAGTATAAGTTGTACTTCTACGCCGCTCAAACACGCTGTCATAGAAATGGCATTTAAACTCCAGTAACAACGTCATATAAGTGTCAATTATATGGGGTTTAAAAATAAATAATATTTCTCTTAAAATTCACTCTTCCTATAATTGCTGAATTTTGGAACACCTAACACTTTTATATTATTGAAAAGAAAATGTTACAGTTATATTAATAACGTTAATAACTATCGGACACGAAACCGGTCGGGTACAAACTCACTGAAGAAGAAATGGCGTACAGCCAATTTCTAATCTATGTAAAGTTAAACAGCCTCGTCCCGTGCAAACTATATTGCTGAGATTTAACCTCAAAACGTGTTGGCAACATGAATGATTTCCCTGATCACAAATGCCAACTGAAGTCTGATATCACGACCACTTTTTTTCCTAGAAAGAGTTTGTATATCAGTTTGCGTATTACATTACCTACTTTTAAGTGTGTAAAGAGTGATAATGCTAAAAACAAGAAACACAAGTATTCAGAGAATTTTTAAAATTTATTATGCTTTTTAAATTTAGCTTTTAATATCCTTGTTCGTTTATCCACTGAAAAGTAAATTAAGGTAGAACAAAAGCGCATTATTTTAGGATGATTAGCAACGAATAAATATGTTCAAATATTTTTTGTAGTTTCGAAACTATTCGAAATTTGTTAATTTTATGTTGGCAAAAAGTTTCTTCAATTAGAGTTTTTTACTCGGTACATGGTTCAAAGTCTGCAGCTATTATTTTCCGGAATTCTCCAAACTACACTACTGAGAACATTACATATCAAATCTTGAATGAGTGATTAAACAAGTGTTAATACTTGAAAACTTCCGACATAAAGAATGCAAAAATGAACCCTTAAAAAGTCTGAAATTAGTTAAGATTCGACACACTGTCCCTATTTTCGTGCAAACATACCTGATTCTTCCACTAATTATCCTCAAACATAGCTAACGATAATCCCGATTAAGCCAGCTTTCAAACAAAAAAAAAAGACATGAGCTGTCGTGAGACACCTGTATGGAACAAAGTAAACACTTTATTATTAATTATTATAAAAATATTTACTATAAATACAATCTCAATATGTACATTCAACCATAGAAATTATTACTTTATGATAACTGAAATAATGATACATTAGTTCCAGATTCATTTTTTTTCAAATATATCCAGAAGACTGTTGTATTGTATCTTGTTGTAGATTCATAAAAAAAAAATCATTCTTACTTTCCACTATTCAGATATTTACTATTCACTTAACGTCACTTAAACACTGATACTCACCTGTGTTTATCACCACTATCTACAACTTCTAGTACATCACTTTCACAATTCATTATTTATTAATATATATTAAAATATTTGTTAATAACAATAAAGAAAAGAAGTTATTCAACGAGTTACGGCGCACGCGGCTTGTAAACATACAAGACGGCTGGAGCGAAAGACTTAAGTATTCGGGAGCAGTTTAGCATACTATAGTACTGATTATAGCAATTATGTCGAGGTCATCTTACATCTTCGGGCTAACTCTACTCCGCCAAATCGAGCTGAGGGACATGCGATAAGTAAGTTCGTTCCAAAAAACCGCATTGAAATCGGTTCATCCGTTTAGGAGTTACGGTGCCACAGATATACAAAAGCTTCAAAGTTTATAACACCCCAAAAAGGTCAGTGATGAATAGAATGAACTCTCTCACTTGAGATGCCTCTAGCTTCGGCTAACTTAAGCATCTTCATTCGTCTATGGGCCAAAACCATACCATAAATTTTGCCAATGATTTCTGGTATGACGCCAGTTTTTGGATTCCCTCACGCTTGAACTCATTAATTCAAAGTGAATGGCTTCATAGAACATGAATCGTCCAGTGTAGAAAAAATGATTTCATGGATTTCTTTCGCAATTTAAAAAAAAAAGAACTGAATCATACCACGAATTGCAGTTTTCTCAGTGTTTAAAAATCACTCGACACACTAGTATCGAGTTAATTTCTAAACGAAGAATTACTGACAGATTGACTTGACATTATAGAAACGTCATTTATAGGAAACCAACTTGAAGTCTGCATCTGCAGTTATTGCTTTTTGCTTCTTTACTTCCAAGTCTATGGGAACCATGTTATTCATCAAACCACACTCGTAAGAACCATTCCATTTAAATAAGTTTTCGAATAAAAAAAAGCAGCATTTTCGCAAAACTACAAAATTTGACGTTGCAAATTTTATTTTAAATATGAGAACCTCTGTAAGTTCAAATAAACATATGAGGATGGTCTGAGAATTTCGCGGCCGGTGAAAGAACACATTTATAATTTTGAAACTATTTTTATTCTTCTACATAATCTCCTACTTACTATACTTGGAGCACAGATGCTGCAATGCCAATATACCCTCCCTATAATGGTTTTCTGGAGGTCTGCAAAATAAACTTCTACAGCTTCAATAGTTTCAAAATTAGACCCAAACGCGGAAGTTCGAGGGAGCCAAATCTGGTGAATAAGGCGCATGTTGGAACAAGTCGTACTTTTACTTTAAATCTCTCAATTTTCCCATTGCAATAACACCTTTGTACACAGGCGCATTGTCTTGATAGAAAATGATTTTTTATTCTGTAAACAGGGTCTTTTTTCCAGAATTTTTTCATCTAATCTATCTAGGAGATTGACATAATGTTCCCGCGTTATTGTTTTACATTTGTTCAGGTAATCAATAAGTAAAATTCCTTTAGCGTCCCAAAAAACCGATGCCAAAACCTTTCCGGCTGATGAAACAGAATTTGCCTTCGTTGGTGCTGGATAACCAGCTTCTGTCCATTGTACAGATTGTTGTTTTGATTCTGGCATAAAATGGTGAACCCAAGTTGTTTCATCCATGGTTACAAATTTTCGTACAAAATCAACTGTACTTACCTTTGTGCATATCAGCGAACGAAGGCGATGATCGTGGCCTGCAAACAGGTGGATTAATTGATTTCTAAGACGTGAGAGGCTATATATTCGCATCAACTCAGAGGCGGCTTATCCTATGAGGCAGGTGAAGTAATGACTCAGAAATGAATTTGCGTCTTATTATTTATTATTTTTGATCGATACACTTCTGGCCAATAAAATGATTTTTTCTAATATTTTAAAAATAAATGTAAATAATTATTGTTATTCTTATCTTGGTAGGTGGCTTTTTGTTGTTCCCATAATTAAACAGTACGCTTCAACACACCACACAGAGGCAGACTCTAATGTTGCCTCTGTAGTGTACGCAAAACTGATGCCGTTTAATATGTAGGCTGTCCGTAATGCGGTATGTGTTGACAAATGATAAAATTGAGATTAGACTCTTTTTCCGGCTTGCAAAAGTAGTAATATTTCAGCCCGCAGCATGTGCGATTGCGGTATACTTTGTAGTATTCAATCAGCATTAAAAAGCAGAATTTTCAAAATTTGGTCGTTGATTGTTAATTCAAATTTCACAAAAAAAATTGTATTAAATGTTTCTATATTTGCGTGTGTCAAGTCAGTGCTTTGAGGATCTTCATAATTTCATTTCGGTAATCAGGAGTGTAAATTGGAATTTTCGTCTACTTAAACTTCAGTGAATATAATGATAAAGTATATTTTTTTTAGAAACCTTCGCATTAATTTTTTGCTAAACAGATACTGTCTTTTATGTTTTGCGAAGTAAATTCGTTCACAGATATTCTCAGAGCTAGGAAAGTGTTGCAAAAACTTTAGGTAAGCGAATTTAGACGTAGTGACCATTTTTTTAAACAAAATTTATGGAAAACTTTACATTGATATCTTACCTGTTGAAATGTCGCAAAGGAAGTGCAATGACTGATAAACAACACAAATTAAAGTAAATCTATTTCAGAAATTTTTGATATTATAGTTAATCAATTACAAATTAGATTCTCTGGCATTGAAAAATTACACGTTTTTGATTTGCTTAAGTCTCTAAAATTTCATTTTTTCCGAAAAAAAAAATCATGGGAGCGCAAGCACGATAATACATATAATTTTGTCGATGTTTAGATATTGGAGCATCTTGTGCCTTCCCAGATCAACTTCTCAACTTACTTATGAGCCGCCGACGATAGCGTAAATGACTATTATTCTTCCAA